AAATGAATAAATAAATTAAATAAAATCGATAGTACATTCAGTGGAGAATTACTGCTAAGGAGAATGTGTAAGGCGGCTATGGAGCACAAACAGGAGCTAGGTGAACTCTGCAAAGGAAGCAGTTTAAGAATTTTCTGGGATCCCAATCTTGCGCATGGATTAGCGGTGTCATCCGCGGCAAATCCCTTCATTTCTCTAAGCCTCATTTTTCCTACCTGTAACATGGGGGCACCAGCACCTTCCCCTGTGAGACCGTTCACCAATTCCCTGCAATGACCCCCGAAAAGCACTTTCATCGGCCCGGCCACCCCTAGATGCTGTGATTCTAACTTTGGCCCAGTAGAATTTATTACCATCGTGGATTTCAGCCACAACCATGTGATCGATAAACCCAACCTTAATTTTCATTTCACAATACTAAAATAGCTTGCTTAAAATACATTCTGATCTGGCATCTTCTTTCCATAATTACAAAGTAGAAAACCACAGTATTCAGCCAAAGCAGACTGAGAGTCATCACCTGCCTCCCGCCCTGGCAGGGATCAGGCTAAGGGTGTCTCCACATCCCTGGCCCCGTTTTTCATCATCTGAGATCCCAAACTGACATATTTCAGAACTAAAATAAAAGTAGAAAAATGTAAAAAAGAAAATGTGCTAAAATAATGCTGTAAACAGCAAACAAACAAACAAAACACAGTTCTCTTTAATGCCAGAATAGTCTAGATAGGTCTGCAAGCTCTTTTAAATTAGTAATTATATCATAAATTTATCCATAACAATTTTTTCAATTACTAATTTTTTGATAGTATTAGGTCCTTACTTTTCCAATTTATTTTTCATTTTCCTGGAGAATAAAACCTTCTCTAACCTTCAACAGCCCGATATAAAATAAGATCTACCTACATTTTCTTCTTTTTGGTACTGGGGATCGAACTCTGGTCCTTGTGCTTGGCAGGTGGTGGAACTACTGAGCTAAATCCCTGGCCCCTACCTACATTTTCATGTCTTTCTGGATACATCTGTCTATGTCTCCCTTTTCTTTTTCTTTTTCTTTTTTCTTTTTATTTTATTTTTTAGTTTTTTTCCCCTTTTCTTTAATTGGAATGTATACATTCATAATGAGGAACATAGAATTATGGATTCTAGCTTTCTTGGAACAATTTCACTCTTTCTCTTTCCTCCTGAAGGAGTCACTGTACTCTTTCTAAAACAATTACTTCCCCCAGCCCAACATTTAAAAGAGCTCAGGCAGACAGGGCCTCTTCATTACGTTAAAGAAACAAGGTTATAGACGCACAAAATCCACTGGAAACAATCAGACCTCGGCCTTCAGAACTGTCTGGCTTCTACACAGAGATTGTATTCCATATTTTCTACTAAATGTTTTTCTCCTTCAATATGGTGGAAACTATACTTTTAGTTTAGTAGGCTAAGTGTCACTGCTTGTTCACCAGGGTCCCCAGATGCTGGGCTGTGGCCTCCTGAGTGTTGGTGTGGGACACAGACAGCACCCTCGGGCCTAGCGTTCGCCGAGGAGGGCAGGACTGTGCTGGGGGCAGCCTGCTCTGCTTCCTGCACGGCTGAGCCTGTAATCCGGGTTTTCATTTCTTGGTGTGCACCTGGCTAGGATTCACTATTCTTCTCCGTTTCTTTGTGGTTTTCACAGAGGCGCAACCCAAACACGACACGGTTATTGCTTCTCGTCACTAAAGTCGGGGCCAGGCGGGGCGGACTGCGTGTCCTTTTAGAATTGTACATTTAGCGCACTGTTCGGGCTGGAAGTGGAAGACAACAAAACCGAAATCTTTTAACATTTTCCAGTGAAGACAATACTGTGAAGAAAATGAAAGGGGATTGTGTTTCCTTGCTAAAGAGCTACCTCAGCGATCTCCCCAGTTAGGAAGACGCTGACCGTGTTTGTTCACTTTTCTATTTAGTAATCGTGCTTCCCCAGTGAAATAGTGAGCTTCATGAAGACAGGAACTGGGCGTGCTTTTGCACTGTGAATTTCACACACAGCTTACACGGTCCCTTGCTATGACTTTGGAATCTCTTAGAAAGTATTGTTAAACTAATGAAGCCAGGTGTGCTGGTGCATGCCTGTCATGCAGGAGGGTGAGGCAGGAGGATCGCCAAGAGTTTGAAGCCAGCCTGGGCTACTTAGTGAGTTCAAGATCAGCCTGGACTACAGAGGGAGACCCTGACTCAAAAAAACAAACCAATAGCATATTGTTCTCTATAACGTTAAATCTCATTAAACAGGAAATAAAGTTTACTCTCAGTGTTAATGCCTTTATAACCCTCACTTTAATTTCACAGGAAATTCATATTCTCTTTAATTTTCAGGGAAGGAAACAAACATTTATCGTGCCTACTGTGACTCGGGCACCAAGCACTGTGCTAGATCCAAGGCTCTGTAAAACTTGGTCATCGTCACATGACCCTACGGTCAAGTTTTTAGCACGTAAATAGATCTACTACTTCTACCATCAAGTTGGTCACTTTGGGAATTCTTTTAACTTTCATGCAGAGAACGAAGAAACAAAAATCTATTAAGAATTTAATATTACTGATACAATTAGCTTCTTTCTTATAGGAAACTTTGATGGAATAAAGTTTTCAACTTTGAAATTTTCCAGACACTAACTTTACCTTTTTCAATATTGTGTGTGTGAGTGTGTGCGTGTTCTTAGGGATCAAACCCAGGGCCTCCTTCACATTAGGCAAATATTCTGACCCTCAGCTGTATCTCCAATGCCATCAACACAAAGTTTTAAATTTCAACTTTATTTACTTACTTATTTGCTTACTTTTGGTTTTTTGAGACATGGTCTCACTATGTAGCCCAGGCTGGCCTCAAGCTCATGGTGATCCTCCTGCTTCAGCCTCCTGAGTGCTGGGATTACAGATGTGCACAACCGCGCCCGGCTGTATAATAAATGCTAGCTTTAAGTTTTAATTTATGGCCCAGTATAGTGGTGCAGGCCTGTAATCCCAGCACTCTGGGAGGCAGGACGGTCACAAGTTTGAACCCAGCCTGGCCAATTTAGTAACTTAGACCCTGGCTCATAATAAAACAAATAAAAAATAATAAGTAAATAAATAGAAAGAGCTGGGGATGTAGCTCAGTGTGAAAGTCTGGGTTCAATCCCCATTACTTAAAAAACAAATCCAAGTTTTAATTTATACAGGTACTGAGCTCTTAAGGGAGCATTCAGTCCATTTCTCTCTGTTTTACAGAATAGAATCAGGTCACTGTTCTAAAAACTCATATAAATTGTATTTGTACATTTGTTCTGTATCTAAATTTTTATTTTCCTGGTTCTTACCTCAATGTCATGTGTTCATTGATACTTTTACATCTAATTGGAAGCTTTCCTCTACTGCAGGCTGAAGAACTCAAACACTGGGAGGGCTAGAAAGTTAGAAAGGGTTTCCCCAGTGAGGGCCTCAGGGTCACCCCAAGGACCAGGGAGACCCATGTTTGATGGGGACTCGGTAACAGCTCCCTTCACTCAGAGGACTCTCAGTTCTGCTGTATTCTCAGTATGTTTGGGAAAGCTGGAAATTACCACATGAGTGACCCACGGATTAATGGGGTTCCATTGTCCTAATTCTGTCGAGCGTTAGATTAATCACAGCCGAATGGTAGGTTAGTTTCTTTATGTTTTGCACTGTTAATTTTCTACAATTATTAACCAGCCACCAAGGTAATTATTAACCTTTCTATTCAAACTGTGCTTTTAGTTTAATACCTGGGCCAATAGAGAGCTTCCATTACAAGGCCCAATTTAGAGCACGTGGGTATTACTAACTTGGCTACCACACAGAGCTCAACCAAAATAAAGTGTTGCTGTGTGATGTGATCCACCGTTCTGATGGGGAGGTTACTATTCAACGAAAGGGAGGAAATATGATTCATCAAAAGGGCTGAATGAAGTAGCAATGTAGAGTGAAAAGAGAGGGAGAGAGGAAACAGGGATTATAAACTCTTGAAATCTGGAAGAAGAAAAGAAACGGAAAGATTACAGATTAATAAAGAAAAATAAGAAATAATTTACCAACTTTATTCTTAACCTTTAAGAGAACGATGCGTTTCCAGTTTTATATTCGGCTCAGTCCCATCTCATCCCCTCCCCTACGCTGGGAAGGCCCATGACAGCGTGACAAGAACAGCGCATGCGTAGTGACGACGGGGCCTTCTGAGACCTCCCACCCCGGGAGCTCTGCACCTGAGCCGGAAACGGGCACCGAGCAGGCCAAAATCTCTATATTCATGTATAGTATCTTAAAGACTCACATATTTTTGCATTATTCTGTTAGTGTAAAATAATGTCCATAGCAGTTGGATTAGTATTTTTTCCGGGACCAGGGATTGAACTCAGGAGCTTGCCAGGCAGGCGTGGTGCCATTGAGCCACGTCCCCAGCCCAGCAGTTGAGTTAACTCATCCCATTTCCCAAAATTCAAGACTGACGCACCAAGAAGATGTGCATTACAGTTCTTGCGGCCTTGCCCTCCCTTTGAACAACATTTGTATTGTCAAGGTCACAGTTAGGGCGAAACGGGCAAAATGACCTCTCACGTGGGCTCAGGGTCGCCCATGAGCAAGGACACAGTAGTAACCCGGGTACGGTGAAATGCGAGCTCCCCTTCTCCCGCACCTCGGTGAAGCCAGGGAATCCACACGGATAGCAAGCCGGGTCCTGCAATCTCAAAAGGCCCTCATAGCTTTTGAGCTACTACTATTATAAAAAGATCAATAATGATGTCTTCCTGCTCCAATATGGAATTAGTGTTTCCCTAAATGCATTAACTTCAGGAGTATTGAATTACCCAGGAGGATCCGCACCACAACGCAACAAACAGTTGTCCTTGGCAGATTAGTGACTGCCGACACAGAGCACCCACCAGAAGACGCTGGGTACACCCCGGCCAAAGGCAGAGGCTGCAGGACCAAGGGGATGGAACAGGGGCTCCCCAGCCCAGGAAGACACTCACCCCTATCCTGATAATCTGCCAACAGGGGGGCATCTGACGTGAAAGACGGGCCATGAGTGCCGCTGTAATTGTCATCGGAGCTGTCTTGTCCAGGCTCTCCTCCTGAGGGACAAGAAAGAAAATGAGGTCACCCTTTGGACATCTTTGTAAAGATGTCTGTAGGTTTCTTCTGCAATTCACACACACACAAGATGCATCTTTGCCTTAAACATGGCAGCCCTTCACTGACACATGAAAAACAGAAGTTCAAGGGCCGGGGACTTAGCTCAGTGGTTCTGCCACTTGCCTTGCAAGCGCAAGGTCCAGAGTACCAAAAAAACCCAAACAAAACAAAACAAACAAAAATAAAACAAAACAGGAGTTCAAGAACCAACTTACCTGGATGGAAATTTTCCACTCAAGAAACTCTCCCAATAGATCTAAAGAACTGCTAGGTTAGAGTGGGAAGACCTCTTGCCATCAGAGGGAAATTTCTCCACCATACTGAGAATGCAAAGAACGATGTGAATTTGTATTCATATATACGCTGTCTCCATTAGTTACAAACTTTACCCCAGCACCGTGTTCTCCATATTTCCAAAGGAAACAAAAGAAATAACACAAAGGGTTAAAATCTATACATAATGCAATGTGGCGAGGTCAATATTCTCTCCTCTGAAAGATAAGAGGCGTAAGGAGGTAGAGAGAACCCAGCCCTCGCTAGATTCGATTCCTATTTAAATCACTACTTGTTTTGCAAGCTTAATAAAGTTCTCTTTGTAATTCTAGTTTACAGCCTAGGCAAGCATCCTCTGAGGAATTCTAAAAGCACTAAGAAGGTAATATTTGCTCTGCAAAATGGCTTTGATAAAAGGTAATGTATATACAATACCAAATTATGCAATTAAAATAATGCTAATCCCTTTTGGGTGTTTTCAACCTACATTGAATTGTATTTTGGAGAAGTGGCCGATGATATTATGATACTTTAAAAGGTTCAGGCGGAAGATGTTAGCTGATTCAGAAACTGGAAGCAAGGGAAAGGACTGGAGATGGCTCTCTGTCAAATCCCCTGAGCAGAGGTAGAGCCTGCTGGTAAAAGGGCACAACAGCTGTTGCCTTCATATCACAAACACGAAGAAGGGATTTTCAGCCGAACTGAATATTATCTCAGATCCTCATTTCCAAAGGAAATCGCCACTGCTAAGCTCAGTAAACACTGTAGCGTTTTGGCCCTGGCTTTCAACTAGGGAGCTGTGAAAGCGAACAGCCTGCATAGAATCTCTATTGCCTCACTTTAGAGGTTTATTTCCTACAATTAAACTGGAAGGATAGGGAGGATATAAAAGGATAAAGCTGAGAACTGCTGTGTCCTTCCTTGTCCATAAATTAGGCGATTATATCCCTTCTTCAAATGCTTGATGGTAGGTAGACTCCAGAACTGAGTCAAACACCTGCAGGTTAGGGACTTTAGATATAAACTGTAGAGTTTATTGTTTTGGGGGGGCGGTTTTTGGTATCGGGGATCGAACTCAGGACCTTGCGCTTTCAAGGCAGGTGGCAGAACCATTGAGCTAAATCCCCGGCCCTGTGGAGTTTATTGTTTAAAAAAAAAAAAAAGAATGCTTTGAACCTCACACAACAGTCATAGGCTGAAGTCAGAAGAAATGCTATCGTGATTAGTTCACTGATCGGGATACAAAGTTTATAGTTAGGCTTAAGGAATTGCTGTGCAATTTCCATAATAACCAGAAAAAAATGCTCAAATCCTAGACTGAGGGTTAAAATGCTCAGATTTTAGGTCAGTGCAAATCCTCTGAAATTAAACCATCAACACAATGTAAAGGGAGCTCCTGGCTGAAAACCTGAACATGAGCTGCAAGATGAAAAGGAATTTTTATTTTGAGCCAACTAAAAACCCTTTTAAAAAGAAGAAAGTAATTTGGGTTGCCAAGCAAAAATCTGACTTCTGTAATTCATATATACTGTAGTTTGTATCACTTATCAACTATCACTCAAAGACACATCTGTGACACAAACCCAAAATACAACCTACTCATATATTCTAGCATTTTAAGCTTTAAAAAAATATATAGGTTAGGGGCTGGGGATTTAGCTCAGTGGTGGTGCTGCCTGCCTTATAAGTGCAAGGTCCTGAGTTCAATCCCCAGTACCATTAAAATATATATATATATATATATATATATACACACATACATATACATATATATGGAAGGTTTTTGTTCATTGTATTGTGTTTTTTTAGTGAGCTTTTTATTTTGGAATAATTTTAGCTCTATATAAGTGTTGCAAAGATAGGACACAGAATTCCTATAAACTTCACACCCAGTCTTGCCCAAAGTTGTCTTCTTCTCTAACTAAAGCACATCTTCCCAAACCAAGAAATTAACATTGCTATGTTGCTATTCACTGAACTACAAGCTTTATTTGCTTTTCATAAGTTTTTCCGTAACGTCCCTTTTCTGTTCCAGGATCTAATGTAGGGCATCACACTGCACTGACAGCTCCCGCTTCAAATGTCTCACCCCAAAGCCCTTCCTGGATTCAGCACCCAATCTACTAACTTCAGATGGAGAAGTCACCTCCACCTGATCCTATGGCTGCTGAGCAGTTACCCAAGGTGCAGCACTCAATGGGCGGCTGCTCCAAATGCCAGATGTGTCCTTGGAGGGCAGCAGTGGCGAACCTATGGCACTGGTGCTGCAACCAGCTGTTTGGCATCATTGGCAGCTCTAAAAGGTTCTCCATCACTGCTGCAGCGTGTGCAACAGGAAGGAATACAACAGCAGGCAGCCACACAGAGCCTAGGTCAGTGCTACCCACGCCTATGGTGGGGGAAGCATTGCAAATGCACCTTCCGCTCCAGCGCAATTAGTGGCCAATGATGAAGCCGTTGTTACAAGTATTGCTAATGTCCTATCAAGTGGCCTGACCCCCCTGGGCCCACACAGAAACTGGCCCGAGCCACTGGATAAAGAGACACTCCCGTGTCATTAAAACCATTACAACGACTCAAGATCCATGGGTGAAAAGTTTTATCGAAGAACCAGCAATTACTGTGGTCGTTTTGAATTTGCTTAAGCTGAAAGCATCATTTTTCCTTCAAAACATAACTGAGCGCATGTTCTCCAGATTTATCCACGGCTCTGACGACCGCAGCTCCAAGTGGCCACGGCTGAAGGCCGGTGGGAGCAGATAACGATCACAAACCATAGCGACAGACATTTCCACTCAGCAGCTCTACACTCAGGGCTCCGAACTCCATCTACTTAGCAGGGCCTTCCCACCAGCAAGGTCCTGGCCGCCAGAGACACTCCACACGGCCACGCACTCGGAATCAATATGTTTCTATCCAGATATAATTCCAGCGCGCCGAATCTCCATTAATCACATCCACTCCCTTCAGCCTTTCACTCTATTTCTAAATAAGATCTGGGGGAACTACATCAAGGGTTCACCTGCTATTAGCTGGGAATTTGCTCTTCGATTCCAAGTGTCATAAGAATGGGGGACTGGACACGCTCCTTGGTATATTCAGTGGCAGGTTCTCCACCGAGCCGAGCTGAGGGGCCCATCAGGGAGAAGATTTCTCCACTGTTCTTTTCTGAGCGTCAAACTCAATTTCATTCATGCTCCGTAGAGTGATAAGTTGGGAATTTCCGAGGGTTGGAGCAGAAAGATAAAGCAGCCTTGTGTCAGGTGTAAGGTAATTATTTGCTGGGGTTTCTGTGCTATTTGTTTTTATTCCCTGCGTTTTCATTAACAGTTAATGAGTTTCCCCCTTAATTCTGAAACAATGGGTTGACCACTAGAAGTTGGCTTTTTTTTTCTGCCACGGATTCAACCAGCTGTTGGTGCTCCATGAACTTTATGGAGAAGTGAATTAAACTGCTAAAAACTTTCACTTACTAATTCAATTCCAAATAAAATGGGAAAAACGAACCATAATGTTTCCCCCTTGTAACTGTTTTGATTCACAATAAACTTGTTGTGTCCTGAACCTGCAGGTACCTGTTAGGGATAAAAAGAGAGCATGAAAATTTTACCAAAAAAAAAAAAAAAAATGAAGGAGAAATGAACAAAAACAAAAAGTAGTTTAAGCATTAAAAAGAATCAAAAAACAAAATACAAGGATGGCAAATAACAGATGAGATATAAATATGTTTGCTTATTCACCATGTAAAGGCTCAATGTTGTTTTTTTGTGTTAGTTTTAGTTATCATCTTTTCTTTTCCTTCTAATTAACTGTGAGCTACATTATAAGGACTACTCACGTCTGCAACTAACTGTTTCTATGGTGCGGTTAGAAACTTTCTAAGGTTTGCTGTTACTTTACCATGTATCTCTGGATAATATAAGGAAATGGAAATTAAAGTAAAATTGTCTACCACTTTGGGTTTCTTGTTATTCTTGTTATTGCTGTTGGAAGGGAACACACGATTTCCTACCCTGTTTAATATTTAAGAACCCACGAGCCACATAGCTCCCTCTTTAAACTAATAAATCCTCACTAAAATGCTATAAATAAAGCTCCCTGATCCAAATCCAGTTAGTTTTCATGCTTGATAGCATTAATATTGCCAGATTTTCACGGGCCAATTTAATAGTAACACAGTTCCCAAAGCTGAATCACAGTAAGATTAGCAAAATGACAGCTTATTATTCCTTATTATAACCACTCACCCAAGTTACTGAGTCTCATTCCCAACTCGAGAAATATGTTGGGTACAGTTGTGACCAAATACGTCAAACGTTTCTCTGTGTAAATATCTTACAGAGCACGTCTGCAACACCAAAGTGAAAGCTCTGTCCATCCTTCTGTTTTAAATCACACACCCTCTTGCCCCGGCTCACGTATCAGGAAATGTATGATGTTTCCCACAGAACATCTCTGAGCCTTCGCAGATTTCTAAATATCCATTTGGACTTAGGTGGTTGGTTCCTGCAATTAATCCTTGCACAGTGAAGGTCTTAAATTCTTCTCTGCCCTACACAGTCTGACTCTCTGTTCATCTTTTTTTTTTTCTCCTAGATCTATCCATAATTCAATATATAAATATTCTCTTTTTCCCCAAGGCCTTGGCAATGAATGTAATAGTGCT